AGAGTTTTTGGTCATTGCCTTAAAGCGGTCTGCTTGCAGTTAGTTCAGGGTGTGGAGGAGTGCAGCCCTGTGCAGGGCATCGTGCTGAAGGGAGGGGAATCTTTGTTCGAGAAGCCTTAGAAAGGGGCCCCTTCAAGTGGTACTCTTTCTCTGGCTCCACACAGGTGAAAATTATTTTAAACTGGGTATTACTCAACTTGTTTTCTGATGTTTCCACTACAGTGAGGTAAACCTTTTTTTTTTTTTTTTTTAAGGTGGAATGCAAATAGCATTTTACTCTAGTATTGCTCATTTCTCCCTTTTTCTCTGGTTCTTTGCTGAGCGAAAGTTTGTTGGTGAACATTTGTGTAAAACTCATTCAAGTCTATCTATAATCTTTCCAATATCTGTGACCCTACTCTTCGTCCCTTGGGAGTCGATGTTGTAAGGTATAAACACTGGATATTACTTTACTATTGCTGAGTGAGTCTAGCCAGGAGTAAGCGGATTGGAATTTCCAAATGGTGGAAAAGAAACAGCACAAAGGCACTTGCCATTTTACTAGCAATTGGAGAGAGAGACCCTTGTAAGTTTGTTTGGGTTGGGTGAGCATTCCTCTGAAAGGAGCTTCTGAAATAAATGCAAAGGAAAAGAGTCGACTATTTTTATAGCATATTTAATATATTTGTATATAACTATGAATATGTAGGAACCCTCCACATGCCTCCCACTTTTCTAATTTACTCCCCCTTCTGCCATAGCACTAGTAGGAGCCTCATCCGCATGGGTAACGTGCCTATTGCCAGCCTACCAAAAGATAGTGCTGCTTTCGGAGACAGGTGAGAGGACCCACCTCTCACGCCCGGGGATCCTTTCTGTAGGACGAGCACACACTCTTCAAATAACGTACCACAGTCTGAAAGCATCATTTTGAAATTAACAAGCACTTTATTGCAACTCTTCATTTTGATAAAGTTTATTATCTTAGGCATTACCATTTCTAAAGGATCCCCAAATCATCACTTAGGTGAAATTTAAAAATGACACATTTCTGAGAAATGTTTAGATCCAGTGAACCGTAGCAGGTTTATGGGAGTGATTTCAAGGTAGCCAAATGAATTTTGACTTTGGTTTTGAATGTGCTGGAGTCAGGAGATTGTAGATGCCTAGTTCCATTTCGACACTATTGTAAACCTATCTTGCCTATTATGTGGACACCAAAAGAGACCAATGAGCCTGTTTATTTTCAGAGGTCTAGGAAAATTGCATCAGTGTGAATAGATGTATAGAACTAACCTAAAAGTGATTGGTAGTAATATTTTAGAATACGATAAAAATTTCAAGAATTATTCTGGGTGTTTTAAATGTGCTCTGAAATGTTGGCATGTCATTTCAGCGTTTCCATTTGAATTGCTCTTGTAATATTTTTGCACAAAAAGGACTGAGAAAAAGACTACTTCGGTTGAAGAAAAGTATAATTTGGTCTTATTTTAAATATGTCTCCTGTGGAAACACTGGGGATGCATTTTGTTGGTATAGTTATTAATTCAGGATATTTAAAGCAGTATTGAACAGCTCACAAGAAATTAAGCAAACGTGGACATTTAAAAATTAAAACTTTCTTTCCATGTGACTGTTTTTGCATATTTTTCCCCTTGTCGTAATTTAACACTACATTCCTTGTTTTTCGTAAATAAAATAATACTTTGCAGGTTCTGCTTTGAGTATTTAACAATATTTTGTAAGCTGACTGGGTTTTCCTAGGGAAACGGTCTTTAGTGAAATAGGATCTAGTTTATGAAGAGACTGTTTAAGTGGAATTCCATCACCACCACCAGCAAACACTGAGGTGCTGCATTAAGTGACAATCAAAATAGTGAGTATTTATGGAAGAATTCAGAAAGTGATTTTAAAGACGCAATTGCTTTGAAAGCAGTTCTCTGGATTTCTTGAATGAAAATGGCTAAATGTATTTATTTATATTTTAAAATATCTTTGTGTTGTTTTCTCATCAAAGTGATTTCACAGTGTCATGTATTTAATTTGTGGTTTTGTTTTGTTTTGCTTCGTAATCTTTTATGTAAAGAACTGACTCTTCTTATGTGGGGCGCAGTCTCAGGCCCTCATGAGGACTCTCCCTGGGCCAATCCAAATCTGTGTTACTTCAGGACGGCAGTGGAGGGCCCAAAGCCAGATGCCCTTGCACTTCCCGCCTGTTCTCAACTCATTAAGAAAGAATAAAGGTAACTCCTTCCGAATCTGCTCTGAATAGCTCCAACCTTTTTCTAGTTTCACTTGCTGCCTTTTCTATTTTATGGGTACTTTTTATATGATTACTTCCCCAGCGCAGCCAAAGGCCAGTATGACACAACCGATGGCACGCGGTGCCTGTGTTTTGCCCGTTTGGGGAAACGTCAGTAAGACGATCAGCATCTTCTCATGGCCATCACCGTCATGTCCATATTACAGTCCGTTAAAAGTCCTCAAATATAGGTGGAACAACGTATGTGCACTGAATTCTTCTAACAAAAAACGTTGGCCGTTTTTATGTAGTGACTGTTGCTTGGTCCTTTAAAGACAAAAGTCCTTCATACACGGCACTGTCCACTGGAAGTAGTGTTTGAGCATTTGAAGCCTGGAAACTCGGAGGCTGTTTCTTCCCTAGTATGCATTGGAACGCAGTTCTCCATGTTGGGGCTCCCCGAGCGGAGGGGCAGGGTACCCCGTCTAGCTTTGGGGACCCCCTCAAGAATGGTAATGAAAGCAAGCCAACCACAAGTTGGATTTAATTGAGGTAAAACGTGTTAACTCTGAGGGTCACATTGAACATGTGTTTTCAAATGTATGCTTTTAAATTTCTGAGGAAACAAACTGTGACATCGCTTGAAAAAGGGCGTTCAGATACTGTGTGTTTTGAGTCGGTCTGTCCTGTGCACATTCACTGCTGGCAGCGGCTGCGCCAGTGCCGAGGAGTTAAAATGGAGGGAAAGCTAGACGAGCCGGAGACTGACGCATTCTGTAACTAGACAGTCCAGCAAAACCACTTGGCCAGGAGCTGTCCTTTTTTTTTTTTTTTTTTCCCTTCACGTCAGCCAGAACAGCTGTAATTCTTAGACCATTCTAGAATGATTTTGAAATCTCTTTTACTAGGGCGTAAGTTGGGGAAGGGCCTCAGTACGGCACTTGCTGACATTCACTCTATGTAGAGATTGAAGCCCAAAGATGAGTCACATTCAGTGCTGTATTGAAACCAGTTAGTGCAAAAAAAGTTTTATCTTTGTCAGTTTATGTTAACATCAGTTATTAGCTGTAAAAACATACACCAAATTCTTCCTAATGTTCTGTGTGGTTTCTTGGTGTGCTACTCTTGACATTGCTGTCCTTCCTGCTTGGCTCTTGGTTTCAAGTAAAAATTAGATGTAGCCCATTGTTCTTCACTTCCAAAAGGGTAGAGCTATAAATGGCTAAGATCTGAAGAATACCTACTTTCCTAAAGCAAACATTTAACTGAAATCCAAACTGATTTACAGAAATGAGACTGACATTTCCTAGGTATTGTTTTCTGCCCAAATCCTAAATTGCACAGAAGCACGAGGGGATAATGAATGGTTTCCATGGTGCTACAGTAGGTTCTCTGATGATTTTTAGGAGTTATGTTTGGAAGTACAATATTATATAAAATGTGAACCGTTCTGTTACCAACTTAACTATTGATTGCCACTTCAATTTGGTGTTACAATTGGTTACACTTGTTTTTCAGAGCTGTCCTTTGAGAAGAGGTAAATGTTTTATTAGCCTACCTCCACTCAGGCCTCTTGGTGTATGATCATTTCTCCAGGTTATGATGTGCACAGTTTTTTAAAACTACATGTACTATAATTATAATGCTCTTTCCCATAGACTTTTGTAATTGTATTCAGAACCTAAAATCATAGCAGAAGAGCCAAGCAGTAGCATTGGTGGTTTTTTTCTTTTGTAAATGTAAAATTAGATCCAGACTTTGTTTCCTTATTCAATTTTAAAAATAAAAAAAATACCTCAGTGCTATGTTTTTCGATATCACCTGCATTTCTCAAAAAATAACACCTGCTTTATGTGGCACATAACTTGTAAGAATCACATTATTTTGGATTTTAAAGGAAGACTATTAAATATTTTAAAATCAATAACAATGACATTTTCTTTTCTTTTATTCAGCAATGGAGTCTAACAGTATTAGCAGTTTTTACCTTGTAGCTTCAAGTCTGAGCTACCAAATTCTGTGAGTAGTTCTGTCCTGATACAAGATTGTGGTGCCTCAGAAAGCTATGCTGCTACTCAAGTATCAGCTCGTTCTTGGGCCAGGCTGTCTGCACTGCTGAGTCCGGGCTGTGATGGGACCAGCTACTTTCGTAACAAGGAATTATCCTCTCTGTTCTTGCAAAAGATGTAATTGTTGGCTCTAAATTAGGGGAGTAATGGTGTAGTCTGGGGTCTTAGCCTGAAATTTCTCTGAAGTGCTTTATTTTCACACGTGGGCATTGTATTTACTGCCCTGTAACTGCACTTGTTATGGTGGCTAGAGAACTCCTTAAAAGTTTCCCAAAATGACTTTTTCATCAATATGTGCTGTTGCTACTTTTAAGAGAGTATTAAATAGAATTACTGCACATGGGAACAGAACATAGCAGGCTGGGAGAAGCAGTGATGCTGTTTGGATAAAACAGTTGAATAGACAGGACCGTGATTACTGAAGTTAGTGTGATAAAATGAGGTAGCCTTATTATGATCGGTGGTTATGGGTTCTAGAATGAAACTGTGTGGTTTGATGCACTGCTCTACCATAAAACTTTTTTTTTTTAAACCTTGTTAGTACTTACTGTGTCCCAGAGCTGTCTGAGGGTTAAAGTAAGACAGGCTTTAGAAGATGCCTGGCTCCTGTTTTTTAACATCAACTTTAGAAACTGGTCTATAAATATTAATACTACTTTGGTAAATTATTGTTACAAACTCACTTATAAAATGCACAAGGGAAAACAAGCTCTGGTCATACCACTTTTATTTACACTGTATCTATGTTACATGGTTTATTCAATATAGAAAAAATATGAATACACTCATAGTATTCTCTTTTAATTTAGTAATTCCACATTGTCAAATATTGACTGTTTTTATATTGGGTTTCTTACCCAATTTAAAAAAAAAAAAAAAGGGAGGGAGAATGGACCTGGCAAACAATTCTCATCATGTTATAACAGTAATACATTATTCTTTAAAAAAAAAAAAAAAAAAATTTTTTTTTAAAGACTTGTGATTACACTGCTTTCTGGCTTAATATTTTAAAAGCTAAAAATTCATTCCTCCCCCAAGAAAAATTTTAAGGCAAATCCAGGAGAAAATATATCTTCCTCATTAAAGAGGTCAGTGCTGAAAGAAAATCAAGGCTAGACCCCACTGTACAGTGGTTCTATGTATATACCCTCTCCCACCAAAAAAACCCCACAAATACTAAAAGAAAAAAACAGTGATCATACTAACATAATTATGCTGGAGAAAAGAAAAATCCACACTTGGATATCAGGTTTCTTTTAAAAATCCATGTTGCAAAAGAATAAATGATTATTTCTTCTGGACATAATACTTTCATTATGGGTCAAACTCGCAAATCAATGCTACAAAATACAGTCTTTTCTGTCACTTTTAGTTACAATGTACACTATGTATATATAAACACAAGAGTTACCTATCTTAACGAAATACAAATGAGCAAACGGCTTGTTAAAAACCAGAATCGGGACTTATAAACAGTGCAGAAAATGCAAACGCCAAGAATACGATGCCTCCTATGATTGTCACTGTAAGAGAAGAGAAAAAAAATGAAATAAGGCAAACTTCCTCTATGAGGGAGCGAAGAGATTGCCCATTATTCTTCCAATCTGGTGAACTAACCTTGAAAAGAAATTAGAAACACTCAAACCCCTCTTCCACAGCAAAGAATACTTAATACACTTGACTGTACAGTAATAATCCATTGCTTCTCCAGCGCTGTTTCGAGAAATGACAGAATTATATTAAAATTGAGACAGTGCTGACAAGCAACAATAGAACTGTAACTCCTCTTAAAACCCAGTTATTAAAAAGAATGTTCAACAGCCTCTGACAAGAGACTTTTTTTTATTCCATTTTTAGGCCCTCCCAGCTACACAGGAAATTTTCAGTGGAATCCATAAACGGTCTCCACCTACAGATCCCCATCTTACAAAACGCACTTTTAAGGCCAGAAATTTTATTTCCAATGTGATGATTTTTTTTTACTTAAATACATTGATAAAAAGCGACTATAAATCCAGCAAGGCTTTTAGATGAATTTGTATTTTACTAACATCTATGCATGTGAAAAACAGTCCATGTTTGCAGTAGCAGCAGCAATGAACCAGACCTCCAAGAGATCATTGCAGAGACCGAGTGTACTCCAGAAGTAAAAACTTAGAACGAACTCCCCTTTCTCTAATCTCTTAGTAATTCTCGAAGTTGAAACAAATGCTATTTTCTTTGTAATTTAAAAAATAAAAGGGGTGCCTGGATGGCTCTGTCAGTTAAGCATCTGATTCTTGAACTCAGCTCACCTCTTGATCTCAGGGTGAGTTCAAGCCCTGACTTGGGCTCCATGCTGGGTGTGGAGCCTACTTAAAAAGAAATAATAATGAAATTTTAAAAAAAGAAAAAAAACCCAAAGACTTACCAGTTCTGACAGAGATTTTTTGTGCGATCATTCTTCCTCCAATCACTGCCAATCCAGTGCATAAGCAGTGGCCCACTGTCCCACCCACTGCTACACCATACGGGTCCTGGAAGCAAGCATAGCTAAAGTTAATTTAAAAGCAGTTAAAACAGTTACCTGAGAACTGCTAGTCACTGAAAATGGAGATCAACAACAACAAAGCCTTAAACCGGTTCTAAAAATTCAAGTGTATAATTTATGAAAAGTTAATAGCTGCTTGAAGGAATATGCTCCAGTTATATCTAGGAACAGAGCTAAAAGTAGCAGAAACATTTCTCAGATCAAAATAACCCTCATACAGCCTTTCAGCAGTTGTCATGCTTCAGTCACAGGTGATATTTAGCTCTCAAGTGACAAGTGCTTTTGAGACTCCACCTAGACATCTCTTCCCTCGGGTAGTGCCTGCTGTTCTGGGGAAACGAGGCAAGTCTTGACTCTACAGATCCTGCCTGCCTTCTTCTCCACTGTGTCCTCGGTGCTTTTACTCAGCGCCAGGAACACAGTATTCATTCGGTAAATGCTTGCTACCAGCACAAAGTGGTGGAGGTGCTCGGATTGGGAAGACCAGTGCAAGTTTTCCAGAAAAGAAAGCCCTGAAGAACGGGCAGGAAGACTGGACTTTGTTTTGTGGAGGAGAGAACATACTAGAAGGCAACAGGCCACCAATAAGAGACAACTACAGAATATGTTAACATAGAACATAAAACGTAACATGGTAGAGGTCAGCTCATAAAGGACCCTATATATAAGCTTAGAATTCAGACTTTAAGACACTGGCTGGTTTTTAGCTGGAGAGTCACAGAACAGGTTTATGCTTTAAAAGTCTAGTACAGAGAATGAACTGGAAGGAAACAAAATTAAAGGCAAGGTGGTCAATGGGAGAAGCTATTGCCTGGACTGGGGTGGGAGACTGGAAGCAGAGAAAAGCAGGTAGATTTGGGCAATTAAGGAGGCATAATTGATATACCTTAGTGACAAGTTTGAGTATTAGGTGTTAAGGAAGAGAAAAATCAGGCATGACAGCCGTATTTCTCACCCGTAATTCTCTGGATGAATTATAATACCAGCATGACTTAAAAAGTTAGTGGAAGGAGTGAAGAAAGGGTTTATGGGTGCTGACAGGAGTTGAAAGTGGACAAGTTCAGGAGTCAGTTGAGTTCAGTGGTGAGTAAACTGTGGGACTGAAGAGAATGACCCTGAGAGAAAATGCAGATGGAGGAAAGCAACACCGAAGGGATGAGAGAGGCAGAGGAGCCCCCGAGAAGGCGGCGGAGGCGGCCAGGCGAGGAGCCCCCTGAGATGAGCGCCGTGGGGCCAGTTGGCGGTGGCGGCGGGGAGCTCACAGCCCCACGTCAGCAGTTCGGTGAGGCCGGAAACTAGGGCCAGCGGGTGTAGAGAGCAAAAAAACGGACCAACTCCCATTCCCCATCAGAGCCAAGGCCCTTGAGTCGGGGGAGGGGACGCAGAGGGTGGCGTCTGAAAGAGAAGTGGGATTGAGGGAAGGGGGGAAAACTCTTAGATGTGGAAAACTCATGCATGTGAAAATGCTCACAAAACCGCCCTGGGAGAAAGGCAAAGATGTAAGCGACCGAGTGGGGACACGGAGGGGCGGGGATCAGAAATGCAGCAGGGACAGCACTGCAGTTGGGGGTGGGGGGGGCAAGGAGGACAGGCGGACCCTGCTGCCCTGTGAAGGGGTGGGGTGGGCAGGGGCGGCGGGGTGGGACCGCGCCGCTCAGACTCTGCGAGTTCTCACTTCCAAGCTGGCATCCTGGGAGATGGGGCCATTCTACTGCAAAGTGACGCTTCAAAAATCACTGGATCAAGTACAATTAAATAGTTCCTTTAAGACAGAAGTTTTCAGTCTTTGTTATTTGCAAAATTTATTTGACCCTGGAACCTCATCCCCCACTTTTTTTTTTTTTTTTTTGCTTAGTACCTAATTAACATCTTCTAAGGACATGGTGTTGAAAGCAGAAATAAACTTCAGTTAAACTAAAATAAACTGAACTGCATTCCAGCATGGTTTATATAAAAAATTACCCAAAAAAGTTAGGAACATTAAGGGAACAAAAACAGACCACCCCTATTTCTGCCCCTGAAGAGCTCACTACCATCCCCACGGTGCTGGGGGGGGGTGGGGGGGGGAAACCTACGCACATTCTCTGCTTCATCCACACAACCACCCCATGAAGTAGCTAAACGCCCCATCTTCAGACGAAACAGGGTGCAGTAATCTGGTCACACAGCAGAAGACTCGAGCCTGGTCAGCACACGCCACGCTGCCAGAATGTGGCGGCACCGAGGGAGCGCATGGGGACAGCGGACCCGGACCTTTCCCAAGTCCCTCTGTGCCACACAGATGACGCTATTAAGGAAAATGCAGCCATTTCTACTGTCTTAACAGCTGGCTCTGGCGGAACCACCCCCACCATCACCACCAAAAGGTCGCTTACTTTCAAGTCCCAATCCTGGCAATCTGAAAGCCAATAAAGAAGGCTAGAAATCAAGAAAAATATAAGGCACAGCCATTACGGTGACATTTTCCAAGAAAGTTCTAAAATGCAGGATTCGACAGGTCCCCGGTAGCTGGGGCACCTGGGTGGCTCAGTCATTAAGCGTCTGCCTTCGGCTCAGGTCATGATCTCAGGGTCCTGGGATCGAGCCCCGCATTGGGCTCCCTGCTCAGCGGGAAGCCTGCTTCTCCCTCTCCCACTCCCCCTGCTTGTGTTCCCTCTCTCACTGTGTCTCTGTCAAATAAAATAATCTTTAAAAAAATAAAATGCAAGATTCGAGTGAAAAACGGAGTTCTACTTTTTTTTTTTAATACAGCATTTTTATGTTTCTCTGATGAAACCGCCCCGTCCTGGCCTTCAGCTCTTGTTTGAAACTGGGGCCTACATTAAGGAACTTGTCTCCTTAGGAGCTAAGGACACATTCAACTCAAGCTTGTTCTCTAAATCCTACCACTGGATAAAAACAGTGCAATTGAACAGATACAAAAGAAGACACGGAATCAGCTAAGATCAAGGAGAGCCTGAGAAGTTGCTGCAGCACTGCTTTCCACAGCCACCGCCTCAGTAAGTTGTAGTAAGCCCGTGTGAACGGTAAGACACCTCAGGAGAAACTAGTCCCTCCAAAAAGGAAGATGAAGATTTTAAAAACAACCCCCCCAAGCTATCTTTTAAATTCAGTGGCATTTGGCAACTACAAGATATAGAAGAAAAGGCTAGAAGGCAGAGAGCCTTAGCTTCTAGTCCTTGCCCCTGCTACCAACTAGCTTATCTTTGGACAAGTCGCCCAGTGTCTGCGCCTCGGGTTCTGTATCTTTAGAGCAAAGGTGCAGACAAAGTGAGCAGAAATCTCTTCTAGCTTACCACCATTCTAGGCCTCAGTATTCAGGGTCTAAGAGCAGCGGAACTGTATATCAGAAGCAAGTCAACTGTAACTGCACTACCCAGAGATAAGCACTGTGAACGTTTCAATTTCCCGAAGTCTTATGTTTGCCGAGAAGCGACTATTCCCACACTACACAGAAATTTGTAAATAAATGAACTAATTTCTCCACACTGGACAGTTAGGCTGTTGTTAATTTTCCACTGAATGTTATTTTGTAAAGTAACCCCCTACAACACTAAAGTTCTGAGGAAAGACAAAACCAAGTCAAGACGACTGCCACGGTTATCAGTTCGGCAAAACTGAAGGGAAGAGGAGTCAACAAGAGAAATCTAAAGACGCCAATTCAGTTGGGACACAGAATGCCATCTGACCATAGGAGCTGGAGATGGGCCATTTTAAAGAGAATCAGGATCATTAGGCTAAAATAATCCAGCATGTGCAGCAGTCCCTTGGCCCAGACGGACTGTCCTCTGGAGCAAAGTAACATTGTTATGCTTAGTTTTACCATTAATACAGAAGCCACTGTTTCTCAAGTATCACTCACCTCTCTAGCTGCCAAAACAATTGTAGTTAGTTGTGAGCGATCACCCCATTCTGCTAAGAATGTTAATGTAAGAGCCTGAACAAAGATGGGTGAAATAAAATGCAGCCATCTTTTCTGAGGTATCGTCGTGCTTGCACCCGTTTCAACATCTCCTGGTCCATTTAAGAGTTTGGTTCTTTGAAACTAAATTTTTAAAAAAAGGGAGAGAGAGACATTAATCCCAAGAAGCAAATCAAAATAGTATCAAAATTACTTAACCTTTGAGAAAGTGTTTAAATTTTATGGAATATGCTGAAACTAAAATTACGTGACCCCAAACTTTTCTTTTGAACCACTCTCACACAACAAACACTATATTCTCAATTCTTCCATTCCTCCGCAACAAAATCAATCTTTACTGCTCCCTTACTATCCTAAATGCTGTGGCAAGAAACGTAAAATACAAAGTACAGTTCCTGCTTTGCGGGAACTTATAATCACCGAGGAGCCTGATCACGGCTCTAAGAATGCAAACCAGGCACAACAAGCTATTTTTGCGTGGCCCACACATCTCACACGGCTAGGGCTGGCCACCGAAGAATCTGTGCATAGTGTTGATTCTTAGTTGAGTGCTTTTTTGGTCCAGATATTTAATACTGCCATGACTTACTTCTTCATCTTTTTTCTTTAATTCCGCTTGCACTTCTTCTAGTTCCTCTTGACCTTCATCTGGACTCATCTTTAAGCCTTCTCGAAGCATTCTAATGCCAAAAATGGCAAATAATGCAGTTGAAACATAGTATGTATACACCCTGGGGATGACTGTGGTGGCGTAGCCAAACAAAACTGGAAGAAAATGCAACAGCACGCCCAGTTAGTTAGCAGGCACCGCAACTAACCCACAGAACAGTTAACTTTGGAAATCCTAATTTAACACTGTTCTGGGGCGCCTGGGTGGCTCAGTCGGTTGAGCAGCCGGCTCTTAAATTCCGCCCAGGTCATGATCTCGGGGTCCTGGGATCAAGCCCTGTGTCTGGCTCCGTGCTCAGCATGGAGTCTGCTTCAGATTCTCTGTCTCCCTCTCCCCCTGCTCCTCCCCCACTCACACGCACTCGCTCGCTCTGTCAAAGAAATCTTAAAAAAAAAAACCACATTGTTCTAAACGAAAAATGGTTCACATAAGAAGCCGATCTAATACATATTAAACCTTAAATAATTCCACTACTTTCCCTCCGCCAATTTCAGACCCTGAGATCAAGCCAGGGGCCTAACATCATGAGATCAGTGGTGCAGCTGAAGACAGCATGTGTTCCCCGGGGAGAGAACGAACTCCTCTGTGGCCACAGCCAGGGGCTGGCTCGCCACATGTCCCGTGGGGCACAGTACTTTAGGGAGGAACTTAACGATGATGCCCTCTAAGGATCCTGACATCTTATACCACTTTCATATGTAAGTGATATTTCTTCATCACAGATCTTTGAATTATAAACTTCTATAGTGAAGAATCATGACAAGATTCTCCAGGAGAGGTAGGATTCAAACTCTGCTCCTTTTTAACTACTTCAAGTAAGTATATCTTAGTATATGTGCTGCCGAAGCGAGCACCAAGTAAGTATATCTTATAAAAGAAACTAATTCCTACATATATTAAAATAACATTTACAATAGACTCAAATTTATTCAGTACCATTCTTTCCTATCGTTAAAAAAAGAGGACAACTGTATTAAGTTAAACAAAAAACTATATTTGGAACCCTATCAAGGACCCAAATCCTAACTGTGAAACACAATTATACCAGTATTATCAGTTCAGTATTTAAAACTTCAAACTATGGAAAGGCCAGAGGACGTTCCATATACATAATAAATGCAATTACTCCACTTCACATGCTCTTTTTATGAGTACAACACTTAAAATCTGCCCGATCAAATGTATAACCATATCTGCCTGAACATCAAATGTGTAACCACATCGAATGTATTCCCAGTTCGCTACATTACAAAATTGAAGATTTTAAAATCATGTTTAGGAAGACATCAAATCTGTTTATGTGTACATGTTTTAATTGTATGTATGAATATGTGTATCTGCGTGTATGTGTATGCACACACACGATACGGAGATTTTCTGCTCTATCCACTGAAAAGGCCACGAAGCAAAGACATCTCTGTAACGAGCCCACTTTACATGCAGATCTTGGTTTCTGACCGCATTCTCCCGAAAAGGCTCCTCAGGAAAACCGCTAACTCCAGGGCTCGGCAGCCGGGGCACAAGATGCACCTGCCCTATACTGTTAGACTGGAAAGTTAGCAAGAGCATAAAGAATGATGGGAGCATGACACAAGGACTAGGAGCCAGCTTGCAGGGGCTCCCACCAGCCGAATCTGGGACAATTTAAGCAATATAGTTAAGTAATTAAAACCTACTGAAAAAATGAATTCCCCAATTTATACTGACAGCACATAGACAAGCCCATGGGATGGGAAGGAGCTCTTTGTTAGCGCAGTGGGCTCGGGCCCACAGCAAATGGGGATGGGGCCCCAGAACCAGCAAACCATCGCTCTGCAGGCATCAAGGGAGCGCTGAGATCCTGTGAGAATCATCCACTTCTAAGCGGGCACAGAGTAGCTGTACTGTCTTACAGCGTCTCCGTAAAGACTGCGTATTATTTGCAGAGAAAAAGACCATACACAAGAGAAATCTTGACATCAGTGAGGGACAGATGGACATCATGTTCTTCCAGACGTGACCCTCTCAGAGGGACAACCACCACCAAGGCCGTATTCTGGTCAAGAAGGCACGGACTTAATCTAATCACGAGAAAACAGCAAACCGACACAAGATGAGGATCAATCCCTTAAAGGCTGTATTCTTTAAAAAAAAAAAAAGTTAACATTGTAAAATACGAGAAAAGGCTGTGGAAGTATTTCAGATTAAAAGACTAAAAAGACCCAAATCTAATACCTGACCTAGGCCTGCTCCTCCACAGGAGGCGATGCTGCTAGAGAGCATGTCAGGTCGCCTGACACAAAATAAGGACGGCAAAGCACGTATCACTCTGTCCATGTATAAATATATATATATATATATATATATATATATATATGAGTTATGTGTATTTGTACATACTTTACGTATCTACAGATAGAGCATGTATATGTCACATCTACACACCTATAAATCATGTATGTACATACACAGGCATCATTTTGTTTTGATAGGGACAGGTCACAAACGCTAAAGCAAATAAGGTAAAACGGTAACAGGGAATCTAGATAAAAACGTATATAGGTGTTCTTTGTACTGTTTTATTTTTGCAACTTTGTGAATTTAAAATATTTTCCATAAAAGTTTTAAATTTTAAAATGGAATGTAGCAAGCCTCTTTAAAAATCTCCTAAACTCAGTTTTCCTTCTATCTTCAGATAATCTAAAAAACAAACCAACCAACCTTGATACTTACGGACACTTACACTGCCATCTTTTCTGCCTGACCTCTCCAGAGAGAGCAAAAAACTACCTGGCATTATAACTTTTCTTCCTCTGGTTACTGTCCCTCTATTTCCTCTTTCTTGGAAACTTTCCCTCAGACACTCAAGCGCTTTTGCTCTGGGAAGAGTGAGCCATTACTTCTCTTTATAAAAGCAAGGACTTTGCAACAACTCAGAACAAGTTATGTCCTGGTCCTTCTACATCTTGGCAATGTAGAAGTTGCAAGAAAAATCACCTGGAGTGAATAAAGATAGAGATTTGGGACCCACTGAATTTCAGGTAATTAAACTGAGAACACTTAGCACAGGGACATCAGTGTGAAGGGGGGAAAATGGGCCAAGAATAAAACTGTGGGGAATATGAATATTCAATGGCACAAAATTTTTTTCCCAGAGAGAACTATAAACACAGGGCGTCACAGAAGCCAAGAGAATAAAAAGGTGGGAATGCCCAGGAATGTGGTGTGAGGGGGCTCACGGAAATGAAAACTGAACTCTAATCAGGAAAGCTGATTACTGAAGCCTTTCCAAAGGTGTCAGAGCAGAAATCAGATTACAAGTGGATAAGGCGGAAAATGGGAGAAAGGCAATAAGGAGGAAGAGCGGCAGTAATAAAAGTCTGAAGCACACAGGATGATCACCCCTGCTGTGGGACGGCACAGAAAGGCTAGGTGAACCCACCACCCACAGCGAAGGGAGGGGCCTGCCTAACATACTGAGCCCGCCGCTCGCGTCTGAAAGGGGTAAGACTTCCGAGTGTACAATCTCCAAACTGGGGCTCTGGTGCTCCCAGGGATATATAAAGACTTCACAAGGGGACATGGATGAATACTTTATAAAGCAATTTCCCGAAGTTCCACTTGTCTTTCCTAAAACTCATCTTCCTGAAATGTACTTGTGGTTAAGGAGTCAGTCAGGCTCCCCTTTCTCACATCCCTCCTTCGCTTGCCTTTTGTCCCCTTTACAAGGATGCCTTTTACCCAGCTTTCTCTGGTGCATTTCCCCACAGTATGGAAAAATATATATCCTCGGGCAGCAAAGAGGGGGTCTAAAATCCTGGGGTCCTCGATCAAGGCATCATAAAGCAGACACGGGGCTTTGGGGCTTCCCTGTCTTATGCAAGCTGCTGGTAAGGTCATGACATCAGATATAATGGCATTATGTTTGTTGGAACCAATGCTCACGGCATTAGAAATAGGGTGTTTGGGCCTTGGCAGGAATGACAATTTTCACTGAGAAATCGTGCCTCTTTCATTCCCCAACCGGTGTAAATGAAGGCGTTTTCCCTAAGGCAGAGTCTTGTTACAAAAAGCAAAGAAAGCCTCAGAAGGCAACACTAAAGCCCGTGGGGTCTTCTCTCGCCCTGGTGGCACTCTCAAAGCTGGCTCCCTCGCCTAATCCAGCCCCCCGGCATCCATTTTAGAAGGATTCTAAAGCAGATGGTTGTCATTATATCACGTTCATTTCAATTCAAAAACCAAGTCAAATGATTTCGAACAGAAAGCAAGCCTGGCTTGGATGATTTACTATGGACCTACTAGAACTGCTATGGCAGTTAGGTCAGGTGGTAGACAGTTTCCATAAACTGAACAAGCCAAATCTGCAGCTCCAAGGCACTGGCAAAAACGTATTCAAAATATGTGATGTGATACAGTTTTTAAACAAAATCCCTTATTGGCAAAAGTACACTGAAACGAACAATATTTCTCAATCATTTTTAAATACAGCCAGTTAAACAAGGTGCTTCTAAGTAAAAGACTAACATGTACAAGAACAGTCATTTGATAAATTTCAGAGAAACTCTTTTTGGTATACTTGATGGTTTCTAATCCTCTGCTTTCAACAAAACTGACAGCAGTATTTCAAATCTTATTTAGCAGTATTGTCAGCTGGTAAAGCATTAAAAAATATTTCTGATGACAGACTAGTATATAATTTTTAGCCTAAAACTCAGGAGTCCAATGAACTGAGTATGATTATAACAAAATTCCTTACTATCTACTTATTTATGTGAATAAAATTTCTCCGCCTTTACCTCTCTATTAAAAAAAAATAAAGATTAGAGTTGAGGCTAAACCTTACTTCCTTCGCTCAATAAAACTATTGGTCACGGACATATAAACTAATTTTAAAAGAATAGTTCTGGGGTGCCAGGGTGGCTCAGTTGGTTAAGCGGCTGCCTTCGGCTCAGGTCATGATCCCAGGGTCCTGGGATCGAGCCCCGCATCGGGCTCCCTGCTCGGCGGGGAGCCTGCTTCTCCCTCTCCCTCTGCCTGCCTCTCTGCCTACTTGTTCTCTCTCTCCATCTCTCTGTCAAATAAATAAATAAAATCTTTAAAAAAAGAATAGTTCTGGGGCGGCCTGGGTGGCTCAGTCGGTTAAGCATCTGACTCTGGATCTCAGCTCAGGTCGTGGTCTCAGGTGGAGGTCAAACGCCCCACACTGGGCATGGAGCCTACTTAAAAACAAATCAACACTTCTATCATTTCATTAAGAGATGCATATCCAAACTTTGAAAAAATGGTTTAGGTAGTGTGATATATTAGCTAAATATAAGTAATATAAATGTATTTAGCTTGTGATACATTTTGCTTTTAATCAACTGTGTACTATTAATAACTATAACTTAAATCTGTAAAAAATATTACATTTGGAGACTTAACAAAGGAAACCGTCAGTCTCTTTTAAAATTCAATTTATGGGGGCGCCTGGGTGACTCAGTCAGTTAAGCTTCTGACAAGATCTTGATTTCTGCTCAGGTCGTGATCTCAGGGTTGTGAGATGGAGCCCCATGTCAGGCTCCACACTCGGCGGGGAGTCTGCTTGAGATTCTCTCTTCCCTCTCCCTCCCCTTCCCCCTGCATGTGCACACACTCTCTCTAAAATAACTAAAT